ACCTACTACCTACTACCTACTACTACCTACTACCTACTACCTACTACCTACTTACTACCTACTACCTACTACCGACGACGACTGCGACTACGATGGCTCCCTGAGCCGATAATTCAGGGGGGAGGGGACCTTATGAATGGTACCTCAGACCTTCTACACCTTCTAGACCTTCTATGTGGGGGGGCGGAGGGGGTTTATTAATTTGGTCTTTGCATTATTCATAAAGTGATGGCATGCTTCTTTGTTCCATGACTGCCAGGTGTTCCAGCATGTCCTTTCTTTTCCCCTTCCCACTCCTCCCACTCCCACCAGCCTCCACGAGCCCCCCCGCTCCTTGCTTTGCTTGGCGCTCTTCTTCCGGCTCGTGTGGTGGACCAACTCGTTGCTGGTCTTCGACGCCGACGCATTGCCTGGCTTTCCCGGCGCTGACGCAACGACCCCAGCCGCAGCATGTCAACATGGGGAAGGAGACGAGGAGGGTGTATGAAATCGGGGGATGAGTCGATTACAGGATTGTTTGCGAAGATTTCCCCAGTTCTCCTGTCCCGCATTCTCAAAAGGATTCAGAAGGTATAGTTAGACCCCCATGGCACCCACCCCAACCACTTGTTCACCTTCAAAACGGAGGCATATAGTTGGCCCCAAACGATCCGTGTATGCAAATATGGCCAACATTCACCACCACCCAAATTCACCAAATGTATATAGGCAAAATAGACATCTTCGATCATATTTGCATGTATGTTGCAATACCACTCAAAAAGTGTCCTGGTCGTGATTTTAGTTCGACATCAAACGGTAAACCTCCCCCCTGATTTCGAGGATATTGCAACATCCCTGGACCCGACTTCGTTCGTACCTTCGAAAATGGGACATGACCCCGAACTAAAAACAGGTACCCAAGAAGACTTAAGTACCCATGTTCCGAGGTTTCTCACCGGGTCGACATCCGGTAGTACATCGACTCCTTGCTTACCAAATGGGATCCTTTGGGCACAGCAAGGAATTCATTTTGTAACCAAAGTACCCCAAGCAAAGGACCCCTCAGAGTAACCAAAAGGACCCCTCCATCCATGGATCCGGACCCCTCGGTCTCCGGACCTTCGGTCCCCTGGGTCCGGTTGGCGAGGGCGGCCCGGCGCTGCACCAGCAGGGGCACCCGGCCTCGTTGGGTCGTTGGACCAAAGGTTGCTCTAAAAAAAAGCCATCTAAAAATCCTCTTCAAAGGGGGGGGGTGTATTCATCAAAATGTCTACATATGTCTACATGAAACACATCTAAACACTGGATCCTTTCAAAAGACAGCCACGGTATACCACGCTACCCTTCTAAGAAACCACGTGACCCTCTTCTACTTCAAGGCCGCCATTCGCTACTCAAGGCGGGTTTGTGCGACAGGATCCCTGTTGAAATCATCATGCTCAGCCTCCGACTTGATGCTTTGGAGTCTGCTATAATAAGGGACTGCTTCGCTAGCAGTGCCCAGTGGATCTACCAGCTCTTCCCATCGACCCTATTGACCCTTATAGCTCCCTGACACGACCCTTTCGATCACCAGCCAGGCAAAAATTCATTTAAAAAAAAATAATCAACATAATAGTAACGTAATTTAATTAAATCCGGATCCCCCCATGATCCCCCCTATAGTGCTGCTTTACCTTTGTCGGCCCCGCCGGCCAAATGCAAACAGGCCAAAACCCGCGAGCGACTGGGCGCCCGGGCAAACCGCTGCCCCGCAGGGGCGGTGCGCCACACGGAACTCGCGCGGAGCGCCTACGGCCGAAGGAGGTCACGGGTCGCGGGTCTCGGAGCGCGGGTCGCGGGTGCGGTGGTTGGATGAGTGTGTGGAGTTGCACGTGGCAACTCCGTCAACATTGAAGTCACTATATAATAGATAATAGCACTTTGGAGCACTGAACACTTCCAAGCTAGAACATGTGGCAACTCTTCCAAGCGCGGTAGGCCACCCGTTGCTTAGGGACCGAGGGAGGCGATGGAAACACTTAAAGGATTACAAGTTACAAGAATAAGGAGCCGATGTGCGCCCAGACCTTGGAGACAGATCTACATTGAACTAAAATAGAAACGCGACTGACAGTGATGTCCCTTTCCGTCTTGGAGAATCAGCCTCCTCATTACCGTGCCATTGAAGGCTGCCGTGTCTCGAGGCGATCGCTATTAGGTTGGAGGCCTGCAACGGGGGAGGTCGGCCCAGAAAAACACAGTGTGACCTTGTGTTTTTGGCAAAGCGCCGGTGGCCACTAGGGGCCCTGACTCACGTCGCTCCCCGCGCTGCCCGCAGTGGGACACCAGCTGGTTGCAATCCTGGCAGCGAAAGCAAGGCATCTGGGCCAGGGGGCTCCTGGGGGGAGTTCCAGGATGTTCCAGAGCTTTCAGGTGCTGTATCGATGCTATCCCAGACTTTGCTAGATGTTGATCCCTCAGACAGAGACAAGTTTTGGAGGGAATTCTTGCGTCGTCCACGTCGTCCACCCACCTCAGGTTTTGAAAACCACGCATATTGAAAAGGCTGGCTGCAAGCGGCTGTCTCCATTAAGAGAGTCTCGGTCTCCAACCATCTCGGGAGCAATCTCAGCTACCCAAGTCTTTAGCCGAACCAGCATGGCATACTAATTGTACTGCTGCAAGGTGAAATTCGAATCATCTCAACGTGCACCAAAAATGTATTATCAAGATTAGTTCCCAGTTTGGTACAGTCTTCCGGTCTACAAAATGAAAAAGCAACTATATGAACCTCTGCCGTGGTCTGAACTTCAAGTCCTCTCGTGCAAGCGGCCACAGTGGGAGGGCCCCGAACTTCGTGGCAAAAGCAACGGGCAAAAGGACACAGATTCGATCGGAACACCCTCAAAGCCGACCCACAAGATACACGGCCATGCCGAGGCGGCAGTGTCGCAGCCAGCAGTCTGCGCAAAAACGCACCGCCGAGAGCATCGCAGGGCCCCCGGTCAAAAACGGCCTCGGGCGACGGCGCTCGGAGCTGGCCGGGTAGCCTGTGTCTGTTGTAAGAAGTGTTCACCGAAAAGAATAACAGGAGCCAGCCCAACGTGAATTAAATGGGTTTCAGGACGGCTCTTTTGAGGGATGTGGTGACGAAACTGGTCGTTTGGTGCGGGACCCCAGGACTGCATCGCTCTAAAAATACCAGGTGACGAATATTCATCTATACAAGCACCACCACAGGACAATGACTATATAAAAATAGATGGAAAATACGTCCTCCTTTGGTCTCCATTTGAAGCTGCACAGCATATCGCGACGAATGGAGTGATTGGAGCTGCGCCCGCTGCCTCAGCTGGGACTCTCTGATGGCCACGAACCGCCCCATCCTTAACCTCTAAATGACGATATTCAAACACCCTTTGGGGGTGTCCAGGTAATGGTGTTCAGATGTGGAGAGCCACCCAAAAAGTGATGCCAATCAGGATTCCTCGGGGCCCCTCGGCGCCCCGGCCAACTCGGTCATGCATCCTCCTCCGCCAACGTCAGATCGATCCGCCGTTCGGCGGAACTCGGGGTGCCCGGCTGGTGTCGTATAGTGAAAAAAAAACGTAAAAAAAACATAAAAAAGCAGGTAGTTCGGCAAACATCAATCAATGGTGAATAATGGTGATAGTCTTTTGGGATTGTGATTTCATGAAGGGTGATTGGAAGATATTGGAAGTCTATAGGGTGTGTGTGTGTGTGTGCATTTTTTTAGAATAATAGGGAGACTTTCCAGTTCAACCCCTAGAAGAAGGAACATAGATGATATACACCAACTACCAAAATGGTTGGAGATCTCCCGTGCTATGCTGTGCAAAGACCCCTTGGGTCTTCCCAATTGGAGTGAAGTGATCCAAGATGATCCAAGGCTTCCGTAGATGGAAAAAAACAAACCCTTGGGAGACATACCTGCAAGTCTCTTATACTTAATGTCTTTCCATCTACTGCTTGATGTCCAAACGCAACCATGCATGCACCATGCACCAAAAAGAACGGCACGGATTCGGATTCAGTCTCCCCATCGGATACTCCAACATCTCCAACACCCCCCAAAATATCCCAATCGCCCGAGTGGACGCAACACGCTCCAAGGCTCGTCGAGACGAGCCGAATCCGTTCAATGTCAACGGGTGACATTGGCCCAACCCCATTCGCCCATGAGGGCTCGGAAAGGTGCGCGAACGTTTGATTGCCGGGGGGTGGGTCCATCTGGCGTGGCCGAGTCTGTCATTGTAAAGAAACAGGAAACGAGCTCCATATGGGTACAAGATGGCACAACATAGGCCCCAGCTGGGCCAACATGGGTCCCAGATGTGGGAAACATAGCCCCTAGATGGGCCAAGATAGCCTCAAGATGTGGCATTTTGGGCCCCACGCGGTCCGAGAGAGAGAGAGAGAGAGAGAGAGAGAGACAGAGACAGAGACAGAGACAGGCACAGGCAGAGGCAGAGGCAGAGACAGAGACAGACACAGAGGGAAAGAAACAGCGAAGCGGACATAGAGAGAATAAGCAGAGACAGCGCAAGAGAGAGAGAGAGAGATACGGAAAGCGAGGGCAACAAACATAGAACGGGAGAGACAAAGCAAGACGAGAGAGAGAGGGAGAGAGAGAGAGAGAGAGAGACAAAGACGGCTCTCCCGACCTTCGGTGTATCTTACACACACCCGGGCGGTAAGCCCCCGTCCACATTGAAGGATGCTGCCAGGATGCCCGAAGTCCCGGCCCCCGTCACCTCATGTCTCTTGCCTCTATCCCCTCTACCGTCTTACTTTCTCCCTGTGTTGGGCCGGCGCCCGGCTGTCAGGCGTGTAAGCCTTGAAATAACTACTTTAAAGACTCTACTGTAGGTCTCCTAATCCTGGTGCAAGCGCCACCTCCCCCACACCCGTGGCATCGCACTCGGCTCCTCCCTCGCCGCAGCCGCTGTGCGGGGGGCCGTCGGATGCATCCGCAGCTGGTCGAGCCCATCGGCACGTGCGGAGGTCGAAGTTCGTTCTAGGAGCCGCCGCACGTAGCGTCCTTGCTCCTAGTAGTATGGCTAGGAGCCCCTGCCCCTAGTAGCGTCCTTGCTAACCTTTGTTCACTTTGAACGTCCACGGGTTCCCCAGAATCCCGTACCGACGTACCGACGTACCGGTCCAGTGGATGCCTGGTCGGAGTTCGTTCGGCTCGGGGTTCCTGGTTTGTCCAGAACTGGTGGATGTCCAGCTTTGTTCAGAGCCTGGCACCAAAAGAAGGTCAACACTACACCTGGCAAAGCATAGGCTCTTGGAAGAAAGACACTTCAACATGCTTGAACTTTAACTTAAACCATAAAACCAAGCACTCTGCCTATATAGTTCCAAATAATCCAGAAATGCCCAGAACTTGGCCACTTACGGCTTATTAGGCAGAAACAATGGTGATCACCATACAAGTAACGTCTGCCTTTGAGACAATCTTGCTGAGGGAAAAAGGCTGAACATCGCGTGGCGTGGCCCATTGTTGAACCCTTGGATGGTCTGGGTGGACATATCAATGTATCATTCCAGCCTCCACTGATAGGGTTCTTGCTCTACCTACAGTCCCTGGCAGGTAGAGTCGCGTCGTGTTCCGCCCCCAGTGACCCAAAGCATCCCAAAGCCCCCCATGGCCCCGGCTGCTCCCAGCTGCTGGCAGTTTCTTTTTCAGAGGTTGAAGATCTCAGCGCCGTGGATCCTGGGCGTCCGCGCGGACGAAAGAGGAAAGTGCCAAGCTGCCAGGTGCCAGCACTTCTCAGTTCCAAGTCATGGGTGCGGTCTTCTTTTAATCGGCTGTGTCCTTTCCAACGTTGAGAGACATCCAAATTCCTGGAATATCCATCTCAAACACAATCCCGGACATGTAAGTATGACATATACGCCTGCATTGACCACTGAAACCACCCCAATGTATGTAAACAGTCCCATGGAGTGTCTTGGAAATGCTTGATCTTCTACGCAAGGGTTGCTGGGGTAAGAACTCACAGCCCAACCTCGCGGCCTGACGAGGCCTGAGCCTGACTGCAAAGGGTCCCCAATTATCGCAACGGGATTTTGGACTTCTTGAAGACCAGTCAACACGCGCGCGCGCAAACATGACTCACACAAACAGATTCCAAACGTGGTGATCGTTCTTGTGCCTCAGTATCGTCACGCTTCTGGCAGCACATCTCCCATGCGGAAGATGGTTTTTCCTCATGAGCGTCGAGGTGTTCGTGTTTTCTCATGTTGGTTGGCGCAACCCAACAGACTCTCGTTCCAAATCGAGGTTCGTTTCTGCTTAGCAGCCACCCCATCGCTGCCCATCGCTATGGCGACCCCTGCCTGGCCAGGAGTTGCAGCACCAGCATCACCGCCAGCACGCCCATGCTCCCTGGTTGGTTTGCACCGGCAATGAAATTTTCCAAACACAGCGCAAGAAGAAAGCTAATATATTATGATTCAATATGATTCATTATGATTCATGATTCCTGTATCATGCATGAATATCAGCAATCTGACGTTACACAAAACATCACAAAACAATTTACAATATGTTTGACTGCACCAACGCTCCCCACGAAACAGCCATGTGACCTCACGCACCCAAGATACGTGGTGCGTGCGAACACCGGGAACCGAAGAAAACGGCGCCCGCTTCGCGGCGACCGACGGACGACACCTTCAGAGATCAAACTGGCGGCGGCCGTGAGCGCGTAGAGGAGGTTCACCATGCGCGTGAGGCCTGGGGTTCACCACGGTGGGTTGACCGACCGTGTGGTCTACCCACCACCATGCGTGGAGAGACCGCGTGAGTTCTACCCCGGGTGGTTCTGGTGGTTTGGCAAGGACAAAGGAAACCATTTCCATTTCTCGGAGCACACAAGTTGTGCCTGTCTGCGTGTGTTCCTCTCGTAGATTCTAGATCTTTGTTGGGATACATCTCATGAGTACCCAGACTACCCAGCAGACTACCTGGAACCAGGTGGGGTCTATACGGACCGTAGACGTTTTCACCCTTGTTGGGGCGCCGATGCTACACGCGTCAATTCATCGCGGGCGGATGGACACGCAGGAGTTGGCCATCACGGTGCGAGTGAGTTCTGTCAAGTCCAGTGCCCCGCCGGTGGTTCTGAACTCCTGAAACCACGTGAGCTTCCCACGCCTGCTTCTGGCTTGCCGGGTAGTCCCATCAGCTTGGCAGCCTCTTGCGAGACAAGCGAGGTGTCCGGAGGCGAGACAAGAGTCTCAGAGAACGGGTTCTCAGATCAAAGATTTAACTAAAAATTACAATTTCATACGTTTCATGTCATTAGTGGAACTTGGTTTGGTTGTGACCTCCAGCCTCCAGCAGTCTGACACCGCGGCGTGTCAAACAGGTCTTCACACGTCAAATTGTTCTCTCTCCCAGGACTTGTGCAACATGGAGATGGCTTCAAATACGGCTCCACACAAGGAGGAACACCTGCAATCATTTCCCTGGGAATCCAAGACTATTTAACAAAGAGTCTTTAGCGCTTTAGGTGCTGATCCGAAAAAGAATTTCCTTTACTTTGGTGGTCAAATATAGATCCCCTATGATCCCAAGTAATACCAAAGTCCTGGGAACTCGAGAAGCCCCGCAGTCTGCCGCAGTCTGCGGCATGCCGCCCGGCATCCGTGCCATTCCCTGCCTCCGGCCAAGCCAGGGCCAAAGCGACTGGGGAGGTCAAAAGGGAGAGCATCGCTGCACAGCTCAGCAGTGTGCTGGACCTCGCCGGCGATGAAAAGGACGGTGCTCGACGGAGCACGTTGCTGAGGGGTGAAACCTTTGGGAAGGTCTTAAAAAATACACCCGATTTCTGAAACTGTGACTTAACTTAAGTGGGACTAAACTTAAGTGTGAATAAGCTAAGTTCTTAACTTAAGTGGGATTAAACATTTTCCTGGGATCAACAATCAACTTAACTTGTAAAACTCTGGAACATGCGGAAGTTGCATGATCGCCGACCAGAGGGAAGACCACCCTGGCGCTGAATTTGCCTGCTCCCCCACAGGATACACACTCGATCTACTCAACAAAGAATGGAACTGGGTATCTGCACCTGGTTTGTAAATGTCTTCTGGTGCCTTGCAACATCTCATGCCGTATTTGGAGAAGGCGGATGATCTACCCGGTACCCCCCGATCGAGCGACAAAGGCCCCGCCCCCGATCGGCGCCTGAGGTGGCGGACGAGCAGCCACAGCAACGCCAAGAGGATCGGCAACCAGATCCTGCACTGCGCAGTGCAGCGCGTCCCGCGCGTAGCGAGAGGGTTTGAAAAATGCGGAAAGTGAGCCAAAGGGGTAGTCAATCAAGAGGTCCGTAGGTCTCACAGGTTCACATGAAATACCACGAGTAAACCCTCTTGAATCTTCAAGATCTGCTCCTTGAGCCTTGAGAAGTGGTGGATCCCGATCCATTCCGAGTCGGAAAGACTCCGGGTGGGCTTCTCCGAAGACTCGGAAAGGTCTGCTTTCACCCTTCCGTTCGACCCGATCAGCTCCTCCAAGAGCCCTGAGACCCCAGCAACAATTTGCTGGGTTCGCCAGTCTACCCAGCCAGGGCCAGAGTCGAGGGGCCTGACTCTTGAAATAGTACTCTTTTATCCCATGATTTCCCATAGTCTTATGCAGTTGCAACTGACACTTTTCCAGTATGTAACTGGGTCTTGAATATGTTGAATCTATGTGTTCCTGCGCCACCCTCCTCGCAGCTTTTCTCCCCACAGCGACACAGGTGCAGCACAGTTTCATGTGCGTAGACATCTATAAGAGAAAGCTCATCGGTCCAAAAGACGGACCTGAGCCTTCACCCCAAAGCACTTTCAAAATCACATACCCCAAGACTCTAAGTAGCGTTTCACCGTGGGATGATCACGTGGGGCTGACTGAAGAATCCACCTCAGAGAATGGTGAACCAGTCAGCGGTAGCCACTAGTCAGAAAAGAAGCAGTAATAGCCACTACGACTAGTCGGAATAGAAACCAAAGTAGTCACTAAGTAGTCATTAAGCAGTAGTTCATGTCGCGGTGCTCTTTCCTGGCGTTGGTGGCATCCTGCTGGGCCTCTTTCGGTCCCTTGCCAGCGGTTTTGGCTTTATGATGGGCTGCTGAGTAAACCTGAGGCAAAGGCACTACAATACTATACAAGGGGTTTGAAAAGTCCCAAGTACTCAAAAACAGTCATTGATAAAGTGCACAAAAAAGTTCTTTGATCTATTTGAATCCCAATCACTGCATGCATTTTCCTTTCCACGTCATCTTTTGGCGTTGGTTTGCGGGCCATGCGCTTTGGGGACACCTTAGCCTTAGCCTTTGCTGCAGCCTTTGCTAGTGCACCCCTCTTGGGAGTAACCATTGCTTTTGCTTTGCATTTTGCATTTGCTTTGGGAAGCGGAGATCGTCCAGTAGGGCAATGTTTGGGCATTGCCCTCTTGGGTGTGGCTTTTGGCTTGGGCTGCGGTGGTGAGTCAGCACCTGGGGTATCAGCGGTATCAGCAGCTTCATCATTCTTGACGCTTACCGGAGTTGCAGTCCCATCAGTAGTTTCATTGGATGCGGGAGCTGCATGCCCAGTTCCATCACCAGCTTCATCATGATGGGCCGACTCCTCCAAGGGAGTCTCCTGAAACACGGGGGGTGTAGCTGCACATGGTTTACTGTAACTACCTTACTATGATGTGTGGCTACCGCTGCCAAGCAAAACTACGATGCAGCCAGTCCTGAGCTACCTCGGCCTCTTCCAGGAGCCCATCCAAGTTCTCACTGGCCAAACTCCGGAAGAGGGGCGGCTTTGTCTCCTGTTGTGGCGGATATGTTACATTATATAACCAACCCTTGGTTCAACCCCAAAACACCTAAAGCAGCAAGTTGATTCTCCTGCTCTGGCTTCGTGCCATCAATTTCATCGGCTCGATCAGTGTGATCGATTGGATCACTAGGAGAGTCCTGACACAGCAGCTTTTGGTCGGATCAAACACCCTGTAGCAAGAAGTGTCGACCCCTTCCCTTTGATCAACATATCAAAATGAAGTCATGGATTGAAGAGCGGAAAGGTGGAATGGTTGTCACATATCTTTGGGGTGGTCATTTTCCACATCTATATGAATGAGGTGTGGCTTTACGGGCTATCATGCACTGGTTTGCTGTTTGCCAGGCAAGGTTTTAAATGTTCATGTGTGGTTTCATGTGGATGATGCAGTCCCATGCCACCACAAAGGGTGTAAGTTACAGTATGTGTAAATGCTTTTGTGTGTCATCTACCAATCACAGTATACATACCTATATGTAATATACACTTTGGGTTCAGAACTCTGAGTTACAAATCATCACCGTATCGCCATTCAAGATGAAAGGCATCCTTCTCCAAAAATGAACTGATGCCTGATATGTATAATATATATATATATCCTTGTGCCACCTCATGCACACTAGATTTCAAAATGTATGTTTTGCAAGCACCCCCAAATCAAATCATCTTGTCCTTGTACTCGGGCAAGCCCATTTGGTTGTCCGGATGCTCCAAGCTGAAGGTAGTGGCAGGCCAAGCATGTTGCCGACTGATAAAAGTTATGCCATTGTTTACAAAGAACATCACCACTTTTGGGTCAAGTGGCATTGAGGAATTGTTCAGCTCGACCATGTTGTTCGTGGGGTGAGATAGTTCCAAATGCTGCGACCTTGGAAAATGAGAGATGGGGTAACTTTCGGCTAGTTAGGGGCGCAGGTTCCAAGGTACCTGTAGGTAGCATAGTCTTGTTTTTGCTCGATCATATACGCAAAGGGTTCCATCGGCACCTGTGCCATGTGATGGTGAGGAAATTGGTACACATGTTTTTCTTGAACATGCATTATTCACAGAGACATGCCCCAAGACAAGTAATCTGGAACCCGCCCCAAGACAAGCCTCATCACCACCATCACCACGCTTTGATGCTGGTCGCTTCGCAGACTTGGTGCCACCCCCCTTGGAAGCAGCAGGCCTTTTCTTACTACTCTTGTTTTGGTCATCATCCGAAAAAAGATCATCAAGACCACAAAGGCCACCAAACATGTCATCATCTTCATTGTTGTCGTCATCCTCGCCACCACCGAGAGGGTTGTTGGTATGGTCAGCCCCATCGTCATCATCATCATCATCATCATTGTTCTTCTTTTTCTGTTTCTTGGCTTTACTGTCTTTCCCTTTTGGATTCTTATCTTTCCCTTTATCTTTTTTGTCTGTCTTCTTTTTCTCATCTTTCTTGCCCCCTCCGCCCGGCGGTGAGGACTCTTCAGATGACTGGAACCTTTCAGGCAGGATCTCTCCAACCGAAGCATGGGCTGCACCTCGGGTGACATGAAGACTGCAATTTGCCAAAACGTAATCAGAAAACTGTTTGGTGCAAGATGAGACATGGCACTGGAAGAAGCCATAGGGGGACGGACTGACGCGGATGTGGTAGATGGTGCAGACCCAGAACGGTTGCCCGTTCCAATAATCTGATTCAAATCAAAAGCCTCAGCTGAATATCAGAGTCATCGTAACAGGGTACCCCAAAGATTGCAAATGAAACTGCAAAATAGCACTGCCTGAATCGATCAACTTTCAATGGTATGGTCAACACCTTCAAACCCAATCCTTCAAACAGTCAGTTTGTCCATTGTGCCTGACCACTTCCCAATATGCGACTGCAACTGAGGGGCTGGGGCCCGAAAGGTACTAGACGCGGGGACGATCACCACATCCGAGTCATCGCTTGGAACTTTTTTCAAAGCTCTGCGATTCGACATGACCGCCGCCAGGTGGATTTACTACTCACCCTTTGAAAGCTACTTTCTCCTAAGCCACCAAAACAGTATGGCAGATACTAGATACATATGGCATCCCATGCAGAAATCCATACCCAAACAGTGCAGCTGCAGGTGACATCAAAGATTCCGGGTTGAAGATGCCGCTAGACCATGAGTCAGAGGATACCACGACAGGACACGGGAGAGCCTTTTGTAGCCTTTTGCTGGCAGAGGTGGCTGGATTGTTTCTAAGACTGTTCCCAGGCCTAGATATCACTCAATTTGTTTTTGTTTCAACATCGCTACTCAGAAAGAAATGTCAAGTGAAACAAAATTGCTTTCATGTCAGATATGGGTCCGGTAGATGAAGATAGATGAAGGCAGACCTGGGAACCAAGATTGGTATAAACTACCACCACGGACCGACGTGGCCCACAGAATGACTCGGTCTAATGACCTGCAAAGCAGGCCTTGGTTTGGTGCTCTAGCAAGGAGCAAAACTTCAGCATCATGACGGAGGCACAACCACTGTCAAACAGCAATATCCGAAAATAATCCCAAGATCAATCTACCAAGATATGATTCTAAGTTTAGGCAGACCATACATACTTTGTCGGTTTTGCTCCTGATGCTTACCCCCCTAAATCATCCTAAATCAGGATTCCTCAGAATCAAAACATTTTTATCACAGTGCTTCCAAGATCGAGAACGCCGGTGACACATGCAATGGGTCGCAGCGGCACCAGGGTCTTCACACCTGATGCGTTGTTTGCATCCAACCTGGCAGGGCCGAGCGAGTGTAGCCCAAACAAGACCCCGAAGGGTTCATTAAAACACATTGGTACTATATGCACATTGGTACGGTATGCACACCTCATCCTCCATCCGACCATGAGTCGCTGGGCCCGCTTGAACTTGCCGATGTCAAGGATAGAACCAAAGTTCTTATGCGTCATAGATCCGGCCACCTTGTCCTTTTTGGTCTTCTTCTTTTTGGGTTTCCCATCCTCCTCCCGATCATGCTTGGGAGGATCGATCACAAAGACCAGCGGTTTGTCCTGCTCGATCTTGTCTGTCGAGGAGAGGACATGATGAGTCACAGCCAACTTGACCTGACAGGGAGGGGTCTCTGAGTTAAGGGAAGGGATCTCTGATGAAGTGTCTTTGAGCCCCGAATTCAAACTATTATCCATGTCCCATTTTTAAAGCATGTCATGGCTATGGCCATGTTTGGGTGTCTTCGATGAAACAAGAGAGAATCTTACTTTGGTATACTGTGGTCATATTAGCTATTCTCAAGCCACACCTCTCCAGCATCCTCGAGCTGCCGGATGATCGTGGACAAAGGTGTTGGCGAGTCCACACATGGCAAAGAAGCCACATGATCTGCCAAATTCTTTTTCTCTAGGATCATCACCGTGTCAAGAGTCACATTGAAAGAGAACCATCTCCCGCAGCTGT